TCATTTTATATTTCAGGAAAATGAGGTATAGAAAGCCTTACTCAGTAAAGGTTGCACAGAGTAATAGGGCAAGGATTTGTTTGGTTCCAGAGGCTGTGCTCTTTACCTAGCTTAGCATCTCTCAAATTTATTTATTTATTTATTTATTTTAAATATTTATTTTTTAGTTGTAGTTGGAGACAATACCTTTATTTTGTTTATTTATTTTTATGTGGTGCTGAGGATCAAACCCAGGGTCTCGCTAGGTGAGCACTCTGCCGCTGAGCCACAACCCCAGCCCCAGCATCTCTCAAATTTAAATGTCACTTTTATCATTAGCCTATGTTAATGGCACATGCCTAAATGCTCATTATAATCACAGCTTTATTTATAATTGTGAAATTGAAAATTACTTAAGGGCCAGATATGGTGGTACATACCTGTAATGCCAGGTATTTGGGAGGATTTCAAGGATTTCAGGTCAGGCTGGGCAACTTAACAAGACCCTGTCTCAAGATAAAAGATAAGAAGAGCTGGGGAGGTAGCTCAGTGGTAGAGCGCCTTGGGTTCAATCTCCAATACCACACACACAACACACACACACAAAAAAAAAAGAAAGAAAGAAAAAGGTAGATCTTTATGTTAAACAGTCATTAAAAATCACATTTATGACTGGATTTGGTGGTTCATACCTATAACCCCAGTGACTTGGGCGGCTGAGGCAGAAGGATAGCAAGTTCAGGGCCAGCCTCAGCAATTTAGGAAGGCCTTAAGCAACTTAGCGAGACCCTGTCTCAAAATAAAAAAGAAAAAGGGCTGGGGATGTGACTCAGTTCATAAGTAGCCCTGGGTTCAATTCCCAGTACCACCACCCTCCAAAAAACCCCACATTTCTGAAAAATACTTATTAATATAGAAAAGTAAGATGTTGAAAATATAATACACAATGGAATATTATTCAGCAATAAAAGAAATAAAATTATGGCATTTACGGGTAAATGGATGGAGTTAAAGAATATCATGCTAAGTGTAGTTAGCCAATCCCCAAGAAACCAAAGGCCAAATGTTTTCTCTGATAAGTGGATGCTAATCCCTAATGGGTGGGGGAGGAGATTGGAATGAGTGGAGGAACTTTGAGGCAAAGGGAGTAGGAAAGATGATGGAATGAGACGGACATCTTTACCCTAGGTACATGTATGATTGCACAAATGGTGTGACCCTACTTTGTGTACCACAAGAGATGTGAAAAATTGTGCTCTGTTTGTATACAATGAATTGAAGAACATTCTACTGTCATATATAACTGATTAGAACAAATAAATATTATATGCATATGTTACATATACATAAACAAGTATGCAAATGTTTGTTTTCAAAGTCTGGAAAGAAGTATAATAGTGATTCTTTACGAGTAGTATGATTGTGAGAAATTGAGTTTTTAAAAAACAATAACGTTTGTGGGCTACTTGCCATGTGCTGGGCATCCTATTAAATTCTTTATGTGTGTTTTCTCAGTTAACTCATTAATCCTACGATGTAGGTACTCTTCATCTTTTAGATGAAGAAACTGAGGCCTAGAAAGATTAAGTAACTTGTTTAAGGTGATGCAACCAGTAAGTAAAAATGCTGGGAACACTACATTAGATTTTTTCTGTTTATTTTTTTTAAATTTTTTAATTTGTTTTAATTAGTTATACATGACAATAGAAGGCATTTATTCACTTATGGGATATAATTTCTCATTTTTCTGAGTGTACATGTTGTTGAATCACATTGGTCATGCAGTCGCATATATACATAAACTAATAATGTCTGTTTCGTTCTATTATCCTTCCTATCCCCATATCCCCTCCCCTTCCCACCTTTCCTTTCCCTCTACCTAATCTAAGGTAATGCTATTTTCTCTAGTGCCCCCTGCCCTGCCCCACCTTATTGTGATTTAGCATCTGTATTAGGGAAAACATTTGGCCTTTGTTTTTTGGGATTGGCTTATTTCGCACAGAATGACATTCTCCAACTCCATCCATTTACTGACAAATGCCATAATTTCACTTCATTCTTCATTAAAGCTGAGTATATATATATATATATATATATAAATATATTTATATACACAGATATATATATATATATATATATATGTGTGTGTGTATATGTATATATAATCACATTTTATTTATCCATTCATCTATTGATGGACACCTAGGTTGGTTCCATAGTTTAGCTGTTGTGAATTGAGCTGCTGTAAACATTGACATGGCTGCATTACTGTAGTATGCTGATTTTAAGTCCTTTGGGTATAAACAAGGAGTGGGAGAGCTGGGTCAAATGGTGTTCCATTCCAAGTTTTCTGAGGTATCTTCATACTGCTTTCCATAGTGGTTGTACCAATTTGCAGTCCACCAGCAATGTGTGAGTGTACCTTTTCCCCAACATCCGCGCCAATGTTTATTGTTGCCTGTATTCTTGATGATTGCCATTCTGACAGGAGTGAGATGAAATCTTGATTTGTATTTCTCTAATTGCTAGAGATGTTGAACACTTATTCATATGTTTGTTGGTCGATTGTGTTTCTTCTGTGAAGTGTCCTTTTTCTGTTTTATATTGTCTAAACTTTTAATAATTTGCCTGGCTTACATGATCAAGATCAAAGTTAATTTTTAAATTTATGCAAGCATATTGGAAACTACAATAAGCCAGGATTATACAGTCTGATGAATAGTACACATCTGATGAATAATAATGAATTTATTCATTTGAACCATTTGTACCTTAAACTAACTGCAAAATAACAGAAGTATGGGACTTGAAAGAAATTAGATCAAGAATTTAAAAAGTTAAACATAACCAGTGGTTTCTGTTCTCTAAAGAATTTTTTTTTAAACTGTCTACTATGGGGAATGATTTATTTGTTATGATGGGTTGCAGCTAGTATACTTTAGTGAAGTGAAATCTGGTGCTTATGTTATAGGGTAGTTAGCATATTGATAAGGCTGAGTATTTTTGTAACTATATTCAAGAACCCCTTAACTATTTTTGTTGTGGTTTTTAGTAGTTCCCTTTGTCTTGTTGGATTCCAGTGAAGTAAATGTGGACAAATACTCAAAGGAAAAGATTTTTGTGTGTGTAAATATGTGTATTGTCTCCATCAGTCTATGAGGATTTTTCTCATATATATATATATATATATGTATATATATATATATATATGTCATTGACAAATATGTTTAGTGAGAGTCATAGATGTTCATTGACCATCTACAATCTTCAAGAATAACATCAGTCACTGGTTGGGGTTGTGGCTCAGTAGTAGAGCGCTTGCCTAGTATGTTCAAGGCACTGGGTTTGATCCTCAGCACCATTTATTTATTTATAAAAATAAATAAATAAATAAATAAATAGAGGTATTGTGTCTATCTACAACTAAAAAAAATTAACAAAAAAAGAATAACATCAGTCATAGATGACAACTAACAGTGTGTCATATTTTCATGTAATTATCCCATTGTCTAAGAGTGAAAAGTAAGCTAAGTGGATCAGTGATGGACTGTGCAACCTATTTCACATATGTTTACAGTTAAGAGGGTTTGGAATTTGAGAATATGTGTTGTAGCAGGAAAACATGGCTACTTAGAAATTTTTTTTCTAAAGAACTTTTATAGAATTCTTCCTCTGCTGGAAAGTTAATTTTGGGATACTACATGGAGAATAAGAGAGAAATGTTCACTTAACTCATATCTGTTATAAAGATGAATAGGCCTTGTCTGCTGAGAGTAGACTTAATGTAAAAGTGAATAAGTGAGTGAATGTGTGTGTAAAGCATACATATGCACATACAAATATGACCCAGTATCTATGAAATAGAGAACAGGACGTGTGGTAAGTTGGGTCAAAAGCAAGAATATGTGAGAAGGGACCTCAGAAAGTGAATTGCTCCCTTTTAATTATGTAAAGTTACTAAAAACTGAGAGGGGATCAATTTGTTTCTGTCACTAAAGAAAAGTGGTAAGGGCTGGGGTTGTGGCTCAGCGGTAGAGAGCTCACCTCTCACGTGCAAGGCCTAGGGTTTGATCCTCAGCACCAAATAAAAATAAATAAATAAAATAAAGGTATTTTGTTCAACTACAACTAAAAAAAATAAATATTAAAAAAAAAAGAGAAGTGGTAAACATTTCTCTTTAGATGTAACTCTTCTCAAGCTGTCCTTTTTTTTTTTTTTTTCATCTTTTTAAAATCCAGTGAAAATAATTTAAACATTTTGTATCATTCTATTTGTTAACCTGGGTAATCCATGCTTTCCGCTGTAAAACTTACCACAATACAGTGTAACAGAAGGAAATTCTTTTCCTGGCTCTGTTCCATGATGGGCTCTTCACTTCTGAGTAATCACTGCCTTAGTTTTAGCACAGAAAGTCCCACATCCTAGGAAATCCTGCAGTACTGGATAAACTGAAACAGTTGATCATCCTAATCCTAAAGGTGAATATTACACTCTGGGGATGGGAATTGGGGTAGGAGGATATGGATGAAAATGAAAAGTCCTGAGATATAAAGAGAACATATTTTTCTTTGGAAGAATGTTTATTATAGCTAAGAAAATGCAGAAGTCAGTAAGCCAGTATTGATGTGTTTGATTGCTGTGTTTCAGATGATATGTTTGGTTCTACATCCTTCATGTAAAAAACAAATTGGGAAATAAGAGGAATGCTACAAAGATTTTAAGCCTCCTTGAACATAGAATGTCCTGCCTTTAGTGGAGGGTTTTGGATCTAAGAGATATTCTTTCCTGCTCAAGGAAATGTTTTTTTAGTAAGTGGAGATGTGAATATATTTATTTCCAAATATAGGACCTTTATGCAATTGCAGACCTTTCTGTACACCATCTGTCCATATCTATAATGAATATTAAGTGTGAAATGCTCTGTAGCATACCTGGCAGACCAGTGTTGGGTTTTCCTTTTGCCTTGGTGGCAAACTAATCTTTTCTCCCTCAGTCTTGTTCTTGGTTTCTTATCTTACAGAGAGGTGTGGGAAATGGAACTGGATAGACTCAAGAATCAGGATGGTGAAATAAATCGGAACATTATGGAAGAGACAGAGCGGGCCTGGAAGGCAGAGGTGAGAGGAGCTAATATCTTGAAAGCCTTGGTTTTGGCCTTCCAGATGGTACATACTTTTGGTATAATATCAGAAGAGCCAGTGGGCACTTGTTTTAACTATCTAGGGGTATTTGTGTATGAAAAATTAATGAAGTGTATGTATATGTGTGCATGTGTGATTTCTTTAGATCTTATCACTAGAAAGCCGGAAAGAGTTGCTGGTATTGAAATTAGAAGAAGCAGAAAAAGAAGCAGAACTGCACCTTACTTACCTCAAGTAAGTACCTTCCCATTCTAAGGTTTAGTAGCTCTGTAGTTTGTTTGTTTTAGTTTTTTAAAACTCTAAGCCAGCAAATCTGGCACTTATTCTTTCTTCACAGGGATTTGAAGCCATCTCAGTGCAGTAGTAATTAAACAGTGATTTCTCTCCTGTATTCTAAACTCCTGCACTGTTTAAATCCTCCCCCCTACAGTTTCATCTTTGTACTTTTTATTTCATTGTTTCCATTTGAATAAATAGAACCTGTTAAGCTATCAAAGCATAACAAAGGTCTTAGGAGATTTATTTCTTATATGGTCATTTCTCTTCTTTATGCTATGGAATTTGGATGCCTCTTGTGACATTTTAAGGTGGACAAGAACCCCCTTTGTGGTTGATCCTCTTTTCCAAATCTTTGGCTTAAAAGTCAATGGAGTTTAGATTCTCAGGCTCTCATACCTTCTCTCATACCTTTCTCTCAAGGTTCATTACCCAACTACTATTTTGCTATCTTGGAGATTTAAAATTTGATTCTGTAAATTACTCTTGTTTCTTGAAAGGTCAACTCCCCCAACACTGGAGACAGTTCGTTCCAAGCAGGAGTGGGAAACTAGACTAAATGGAGTTCGGATAATGAAAAAGAATGTTCGGGTAAGTGATAGTGGGTGATCATTTGATCAGCATTAATTTATGTTTTTTTTTTTTTTGGTGCTGGGGATTGAGCCGAGGGCCTTGTGCATGCTATGCAGGCACTCTACCAACCAAACTACATTCCTGGCCCAGGAGGTAGCCTTTTTTGTGTAGCCACTGGGGCCTGTCTCACCACTTCCTGTTTTCCTGTTAATTAAAGGTGTGCTTTTTGCAGAGACTCACTCATCTCAGAAGTAAAGTATGATCTTTTCTTCTCCTTTCATCTAGGACCAGTTTAACAGTCATATCCAGCTAGTGAGGAATGGAGCCAAGCTGAGCAGCCTTCCTCAAATTCCTACCCCAACTTTGCCTCCACCCCCATCAGAGGTAAGAGAATCTTTGAAGGGGTCTACATTTCTGTGTTGGTGGCAGAGTCAGAGTCTTCTTCTTCTTTTTATGAAGATATTGGGACCATCCCTATTTAGTGTAAGGGTAGTTCATTGATTTCTGTTTCAGTTTCCTAAACTTTCTTCCATTCTCTTGTCCTTTGCATCTTCCCATTTGCAGACAGACTTCATGCTTCAAGTATTTCAACCCAGTCCCTCTCTGGCTCCTCGGATGCCCTTCTCCATTGGGCAGGTCACAATGCCCATGGTTATGCCCAGTGCAGATCCCCGTTCCTTATCTTTCCCAATCCTGAACCCCACCCTTTCCCAGTCTAACCAGCCTTCCCCACCCCTTCCTGGCTCCCATGGGAGAAATAGCCCTGGCTTGGGTTCCCTTGTTGGCCCCCATGGTCCACACATGCCCCCTGCCGCCTCCATCCCGCCTCCCCCAGGCTTGGGCGGTGTTAAGGCTTCTACTGAAACTCCCCGGCCCCAACCAGTAGACAAACTGGAGAAGATCTTGGAGAAGCTGCTGACTCGGTTCCCACAGTGCAATAAGTAAGTATCTTAAAGGATTAGTTAAAACATCTTTGTCAGAGAAATGCTTATGGTTTGTAATAGGGGAGATTTCATAGGTGTTTCCCCAGGGGTGTAGCATAGAATCTCTCTCCCTCTCCTTCAACATTTGTCTTTCTTAGGGCCCAGATGACCAACATTCTTCAGCAAATCAAGACAGCACGTACCACCATGGCAGGCTTGACCATGGAGGAACTGATCCAGTTGGTAGCTGCACGACTGGCCGAACATGAGAGGGTGGCAGCAAGCACTCAGGTGAGAAAAGCTGCCTGGAAAGAGCTGAGGCCTCCTGAGAGGTTGGAGAAGAGACAGACTTTAAAGATTCTGGGTAGGAAGAAGCATTACAGCCTGAGTGTCTTGTCTGTTTTCTTGCTTTGCTGAACTTGGAAGTAAATGATTTCTTTTTTGCTATATGTACTGTTAATCACTCTTCCTTACCCTGAAATTGTTTCTACCCACAGCCACTTGGTCGGATCCGGGCCTTGTACCCTGCTCCGCTGGCCCAAATCAGTACCCCAATGTTCTTGCCTTCTGCCCAAGTTTCATATCCTGGGAGGTCTTCACATGTGAGACTCTTTTTCTTTTAACACTTGGATGTAGAGAAGCTGAGGGTAAGAAGTGGGTGGATTTATGGGTGGAGTGTAGGAGGAAACCAACATCTTGTCAGCTGTTTTGTTTATAGTCCTACTGGGAACATGGGAATACTTGAAGCAAGATCTGTATTTGTACTTTTATTTCTTTTGCATCAAATCATGGGCATAAAAGGAAAGGTGATCCAGAGATTCCTTACTTTGTGGCATGCAATCTCTGTCCTGCAGGCTCCCGCTACCTGTAAGCTGTGTCTGATGTGCCAGAAACTTGTCCAGCCCAGTGAGCTGCATCCAATGGCATGTACCCATGTGTTGCACAAGGAGGTGAGTAGCACATACTTTCTTCTGTTTGTTTTCTGACAGCTGAGAAAATTTTTCTTGGATATTTTACTGGATTGATGCTCACTGTTAATGTCTAATCATAAGGTTTTCAGTAAATTGTAGCTTAAACATCAGCAGAATTCAGAATACTGCATCTGGGGTCTCCCAGCTTCTTTTTAGCTAATTCCCTTTAGGGCACTGGGTAAGTAGTTCATACTAAGCCATTGATAAGTCACTTTCTTAGAAAATTGACTGTAAGAGGCAATCCTACGTATCTAACCATCATTTCAAATATAGTGTTATCAAGAGACTGCTTAGATGAGAGGAATAAGGAACCCAAATATGCAGTTAGTAGCTTCATTAATAGAGGAGCTTGAAGGACTGCCCATGAGAGATTACCTTCACTGACTGCCAAGTCATTTCTGTTTTCTTACATTACCAGGCAGAGGTAAATCTTTTAGCAGCAGGGATGATTTCTTCTTAACTATTTTGTTTTTCTTTTCCAAGAGGTAGAAACTGGATTGACAGCTAAATTCTTGGTAAGAAAAAGTCCTGAATAAGGTGATGGGTATTTCTGAGGGTGATGTGAGTGTTAGATGAAAGCTCATCACAGATCAAATAGATCATAAGAAGTAGCAAGCCACATTTGATACTTAACAAAAAGCAACTTCATGAGTGCCCTTAATAGCCAAGTTCCTGGTCCTTGTAAAAAGGACAGGTTCATCTGCTCTGAAGATTCTTTTGAGAGTAAGAGCCATTGAAATAGCCTGTTTAGTCTCCCACAGAAAGAACTTTTTTGACTTAAATCTTGTTGAACTTTAATGGCACTCTCTTTTCCCTTCTCAGATAAATCTGAGATGTGTCTCTCTTTCTTTCCAGTGTATCAAATTCTGGGCCCAGACCAACACAAATGACACTTGTCCCTTTTGTCCAACTCTTAAATGATGGACCTGACTGGGGAGGAAGAAGAGGAAAACTGATGTGAACAGGAAGCGCGGGTTCAAGATTTCTAAAACTCTATATTTATACAGTGACATATACTCATGCCATGTACATTTTTATTATATAGGTAATGTGTGTATAGAAAGTCTGTATTCAAATGTTCGTAAATGAAAGTATGTATATTATGCAGAAACAGTTCGTTCCCCCTCATCTTGCAATTCTTTTGGGGGTTACAGATTATAGGGAAGATGATGTTTAATTTGGCCTTGAAATGTGATATCCTTGCCTGGGGCTGTTATCAAATACATCTAGGAAGCTGCTGTTGCTCTGAGGCCATCCTGCTTTGGTTTGGCTCAGCCTGTAGTTCATTTCCTTAAGGCTCATGTATGCAGATTTGAAGCCTGGTGCTCACCTGCTGTCCAACCAGATGCCTTGCTTACTGAGAGCCTTTGCAAGCCTCAGTGTTGTTCTAGTCACTCCACTTCAAATGAGTGAAATGAGACTCTCTGATTGAGGTAAAAAATGTAACCCTAATAGTTTGACTCTTCATTGAATATTTTACTGTGTTAATGCTCATTATTTATACATAGACATTAGGTTTACAGAATATTCTGTTTTACATCAGCAAAATTCACAGTCCAAGAATAACAACCACATAACCAAGTCCCATTTCCCCTGCCAGCTTCTGTCCAACCTACTTTCTGGATAGAAATTAGCACAACCCACAGGTTTTTCATGGGGTAAGCCATCCCTGGCTACCATTGGCTTGGCTTCTAGTCTAGTTCTGACAGGCCACCTTGTAAAGTCCTCACCCCTTCCATTTCACTCTGGTCTCCTAGTCTAGCTAACCCCCCTCCCCCCCGAAGGTTAAGGCAGTTGGTTCACAACCAAGTTGTTTGGTGACCTTGGGTGAGCTCCAGACAGGCACTGGGGTGAGGAGGTGTCTGTGCAAAATTACTTGCAGAATGATCTTGGGATGCTGGATTTTAATTTCCAAAGCAAGAAAAGTATGGGGGATGTGTTTCCTGTCCTGGGAAAAATGGAGACCAAAGTGATATGAAGAAGGGAGGTGGGATTTCACATTTATAAATCATTTGTTCTGTGAATAGCTATCTGGAACAAGATCATTTTTCCACCTCTGCTTACTGAGCACTTCTGGCTTTTAGGTTTTATACCTGGGAAGGCTGTGACTCTCTTAGAGCTTTGAATCTTTTCCTATCCTTTTATCTTTATTCCTTCAGGAAATGGCTTTTGCTCCCTTCTCTTTTAGAGTTAAGCAAGTAAAAACTGAGTGTTAATCAAAAAAAAAAAAAAGTCTCCAAAGGAAAGACATCATTATATTACTGGCAACTGATTTTTCCTGTTGTGGAACCTGGAAATGTCTAGCAATATGTGCCAGGGTGGCAAAGACGTTTCCTTTAGGATCCAACTAAATGCTCTCGTCTTGTTACCATTTTCCTTTTTTGTCTTTCATTCTCACCTATTAGCTCATGGATGAATTCTTCCTCTTTTCTCTTGCCTTACTTGCCCAGGTTTAAAGACCAGCATCAGTGTAAGAAGCTGAACTTGCTGGGATCTTGTAGGGTGATTTAAATGGCCTGAGTACTCAACTCTTCAGAGGTCAGATGACCTACTTTCTTTGGTTAATAAATATTACTGCCTCCAGTTTGGTACTGACATTACAGGAAAGGTGGCAAAATGGAAGACCAGTTCCTTTTTGTTCTTTTCATTTGGGAGGATTAAGTTTTTATCTTATAATCTTAAGATTTTCTTTCCCCTCAACTTTTTAGCAGCCTTGGGCTACCTGTAAAATCTTCTGGTGTCCCCAGGAAATTTAGAAATTAGAGATGGGTGTAAGGGATATTCTTTCTTTTCCAAAAAATCTTTTGAAGCCAAAGGAATAGAGAGAGAAGAAAGGAGGAATGAATGGATCAGGGGCTTAGCTGCTTTCCCAGTGAAAGCCCCTGGGAAGCCAACTCCAGCAGAGGGTGGTGGTTTCAGAGAGAGTTGTACATGGTGGCTAGGGCCTCATCATTGCTTTTTTTGTCTTCTTTGTTCAGGGTCAATCAGAAAGCAACGCATTAGTTTTGGCCACCCCTGTTCTCCCTTCTCCCTCTGCCCACTGGCTTGTAGTGGTAAAAACCGTGCAGACCAAAGGCAAAGGCCCCCAATGCAGTGAATGGAGATGGGACAGTCATTTTTCAGAAGTAGAATTTAAAAATAGAGCTGTATAATACATATTTTTACAAGCAAGAAACTGTTGTCGAGATTTTTTTTTCACACTTAGAGTTCATAGTTTCAGTATAGTTAAAAGGAAGTAACTGTAAAAAGAAAAATAAGTGCAAGTTTTCTCTTAAAAAAAATAATAGGACAGTGGGACTTACTAATGAATGGGTTAAGTTGTATGCCCTGGAAAGAGCTGGGGAAAAGCCAGTTTCCCCAACATGGGTGGAAATTATAAAGCAGAATGTAGCATTTTCATTTCATGGTAGCAGTTCTAGAAGTTTATTTACACAGTAAGTTCTGAGCTGGAAGTGGACAGTCTCCAGTCTTCCTGTCAAGTCGTTATAGGTGTGGAACGTTCCCAGTCAGCCAAAGCAGCACCAAGTGCAGTGGGAGTGAAGAGAACCCAGATAAAAAAACTGTGACTCAGTATTCTTGTTTTATTGGTTTATGGCTTGTGGACAACTGGCAGAGGCCAGCAACTCCAGAGGCCCTCCTTATATTTCCCTCTCCCTCATCAAATAATTCTCTACTTGCTAGGTACCCTGCCTGGCAGCAGTGTGTAGACTGGATAGGATGCAGTGGGTATACTGGGAAAACTCAGCTCTTCCCACTAACACTGGTATCATAGTCTAGTGTGTTAGAACTGATAGGGAGAAAATGAACTTGGTCCCCACTGCCTAACCCAAGAACCAGCCTGGGTACCCATGGGAGTGGGGAGCAGAAAGCAGGATAGGAGAAAGGACAGCCTCCAACACAGGAAAAGTGGTGAAGAAAATAAGGAAGCCTGAGGCTTCCATCCTTTCTTCAAGCAGCCTTGACATCGAAGGCAGTGGCTTAGAGCCAGAAAGCCCTCGATTGCTGACAGTCATAGTATAATACTAGCCAGTGTGTGAAGTCTTAGCCAAATAAGTAGAGGGGCCATTAGAGAAGCAAAGAAAACAATAAAACCACTCAGTATTAATCTAATGATCTTACCACTTCTTACAGCTAAACAGGAAGAAATCTGGGCAGAGGTATAAGGCATCACTCCTATACCTGTTGAATGAATCTTCAGGATTCTGCTTTTAAGGATTAGATAGGAGAGGCCTTCTCTCTGTTCCTTTTAGCACCTCTGCTGCAAAGCTCCAGAGCAATAGGGGCCTTGGGGAGGGAGTGAACCTGTGACCAGGAAGATAATGCCCAGCCTTGTTAAACTCCAGTTCCTCTCCCCTAGGGCACCTGGGGCTTTGGGGTTTGGGGTGTTTCACTACCACCTATCATACATAGAGGAAAGGGGTCAGGAAGAGACAAGTGGAATTAAGGTAGAAATTATTTTGTTAAGTGGAACTTCTTCATGGGCACTTTTTAATCAAGAGAGCTTTAAAAAGAGCTCTTTGGCTAGATAAGCCCTTCTTCCCATCTCACTTTTTGGTCAGGCTGTGACCACAGAAACATTGAGAAATGACATCCGACTCAGGAGATGGGCTTCTGTCTTGGAGATGAGGTCTAAAACTGGGACTGGCGAGTGGTTGTATCTCTGCCTTTCCTAGCTGTGATCCCAACTGCTGTACCCCCCCTCCTTCTCCTCTTTCTGACCACTCCTCATTTGTACAAATATTCCATCTAATTGTTTTTTGTTTAATTCAAGAGGCAGTCTTTGCACCAGTGTTAGGCTTGTTTCTACAGTCCCTATCTCTAAAGCAATAGCAAACTGTGCATCTTCTCCTGCTGACTTTGGCCAGCAGGGAATGAGATTGGCCCTTTCTCTGCCAGGGTACCACAGAGACACATGCTGGGGTAACCTGGGTATAATGCCAGGACTTCTGGAAATAAGGAAAGAATACTTTGGGTTGGATAATCTAAAGGGATGGTGGACAAAGGTTCAGGGCTGAAGTAAGTTTCAAGCAGCAGAATTTCCCATCTCGAGTTTAAGGTGATCAAGGGTATTCCTGCCACCAGAGTGCTTCTTTCTTCCCTCTTGTTTTCTACCAGTGCAAGCCCTGTAACCCACCTTGACAGCTTTTCCTTCTTTTTCTGCCAAGGCAGAGACATTTGGTGGGTGGGTGAGGGTCCTGAGGTGCTCTGGCCAAAGGTGCCATCTGAGTCTCCCGACTTGTGACCAAAATGTGGTCCAGGGAAATCTGTCTTCACCCACGGGCCTCCTCACTTTAGCAGGGAGATGTCATCAGCAAAGTCATCATGCTGATGGCGCAGGCAGCGGAGGCAGCGCCACTGACACACCATGAGGCAGAGTGGCAGCATGAAGAGGGCGCAGATGGCAGCCATGACATAGGCTATGGTCATGAGGGTTGATTCATCTGTCTGTGGAATGTTGTAACCACAGTCTTCCATGTCTGGTGTGACAAAAGGTCCTTCCACCGCTGCCGTCCTGAACTCATCGTGCACTGGAGAAAGGACAGATGTGAATGGGTAGCTCTTGTTGTCACAGAGCAGCTACAAAAGACCTGCTGATAGTGACACCTTGAAATTAGTTCTCCCTCCTGGAGTTATTTAGGAGCAGGTGGGAAAGTCAGGCCTGTCTCCCAGGCCCCTGCTTACCTATCCACTAGGAATGATACCCCCAAAGTAGTAGTTTTGGGTTGACCAAAAAGCTAGCCTCTTACACCCCTAGCACACTTGCCTACTCTATGAAATCTCACTACAGAACCCTGCCGCCGTTCTGAAGTGGCATTCAGCCTCACTGTGGGGCAGCTGACAGCCTACTGCCTGGCATTTAAAGCTTCCCAAGGTGTTGAGGCAGCTCTTGCTGCTCTGGCTTTCCAACAGCTTACCAGTCTAGGCAGGGAGTCACCAGGGGAGACAATCCAGAAAGCAACAACAACAAGAAATCGTCCATAAACACTGACACTAGTTTTCACACAACATTTTGATTTAGCTTGAGGTATCTGTTAACTCCCTCCCAAAGTAACAGGTGTCCTAACTGCTGACAGAATATGGACAGTGATCCCACACCCTTGTTCCTGGTACTCTCACCATGGCAAGCGCTGACAGCAAAGCCAATTCGTTTCCGGGCCCGATCAAATACAACGTAGAAGCCCTCCATGATTACTGCTCCCATAACAGTGCCGGTGGATGACTGTGAGATGGCAAACTTATAACAGTCGTCCTGGGACGTGGCCACGTCTTCCACCGGCCGCAGGTATTGCTAGGGTAAGCAAGCAATCAAAGGTTAGAGGGTGTCTTCTTTGCTCTCTCCTTCCCCACGTCATTGCCCTCTAGGTATCTCTGCACTTAGCTCTTCCCTCTGCCATCCCTGAGTGCTAAGGGGATGGGTTTTTCCAAGAACCTTTTGTCACTGGACACTCATTGGTTTTGTCTTCCAAGTATAAAACCATACCTGCTTTCCATCTCCCAATATGTACTTTGTCCTCTTCCTCTGATCCACCACCTCAGATTGGGGACATACCTGTGGAAGGATGGTGATGCGGAAGGACTGATTGGTGACTTCACCCATCAGGTAGAGTGAGATGACGGGGAAAATGTTCCAAGGGGTGGTGCCTGCTTGCCAGCATACCAGTTGCTCCCCTAGCCAAAACCCATCTGGAAACTTCTCTGTCTGTGTTAACAAGAAATGAATAACAGTGAGGAATCGGCCTCTCCCGCTGTCCTTCCTCTCCCACTCTCTTTCCTGTTCCATTTTCATAGGACATTGACTGGGCCCTTTATTTACTTCTCTAGGGAAATATCCAAGGTAGGGAAAGGTGAACTGCAACAAAGGTAATCGATTTGTACTGGAGGATTGTATCAAGAGCAACAGACCCATAAAGGAGAGCAGTTGTTAAGAGCTCTAAGTGGAAAGATCTAAATGAGACATCTTGACTCTTGCTGAGAAATGCAACTCTAACTGACTTCCTCTGAAACTGTGACATCTCTTATACCCTGTTCTTAGTCCACTGACCGAGGAGGCAGCTTTGATGGATTTGACTGCAGCTTCAAATACTTTCTTTGGCAGACGAAGGTTGGTGGTGCCACTGTCCACGATGCTCTTATCATAGTTGTACTGAGAAGGAGAGGAAAGGGTTAGAAGAGTTTTTGATGCCAGGCTCTGGGCAGAGTTGGAGAGGTGAGTTTGATTGCTTGGAGCCTTGCCTGGGTTGGCATCCTGGCTTTGCCACTTCATGTATGTACCTCCTTGAGCCAGTTACTTCTGTGCCTAAGTTTCCTCATCTCGAAAATGAGGATATTAACCTACCTCAGGAGTTATTGTAAAGATTAACTAAATTAACTCACTGAAAACTCTTAGAATGGTGCCCAGCAGACAGGAGGCATTCACTAAATGTTGTACAATTGCAGATATTCTCCAATCTTAAAAATAATTTTGTTTAGTGCTTTTTAGTTTGTCATAGTACTAATTTACCATACATAAGAATCTAGGGAAGGAGACCCAAATGGTTTACCTAGCATTTGTTGGGTACCGCCAGCCACTGAAGACACTTTCTTGACCTTCTCCATGATCTTTGGGAAAGTTGTTTTTACCTCTGTTTTGTAAGATGAGAAAACTGAAAACACTGAATAGTAACTAGCCTAAGGGCACATATCTAGTAAATGGCAGAACCGGATTCAGATCCAGGTCTTTGGCTCCAAAGCTGGACTCTTCTATTGTGGCATATGACACTGCCTTGCAAATGGTTTGCCTGAGATCATAAAGCTGGCCAGTTAGTGAAAAGAGTCCAGACAGGGACTAGGTCCATGCTCTTTTTATCACTAGACCATAAGCCCCATGGTCTCTGTAAAAGTGCTGTGCCCATCCCTGGCGCCTAACCTCAGGTCCTGCTCTGTGACCCTTAAGCTTCTGATTTCTAGACCTAGCCTTCAACCTCTCCACAGGTCCCCTACCTTTGCCTCCTTGTTCCAACCTCATAATGAAAAGCCACCCCTTACTGTGGCATCTATCCCATTCACCTCCCCTTGGCTGCCCCTTGGTTTCATTACCTCCTTGCAGTCCATTTTCAGATCTTGTCCATTGATTTCCACCCGCACAATGATCACCTCATAATACCACTCCCGCCGGATGGGAGTGTACCAGAGACTGCCCGTGTACAGTGAGTGGTCAATACCCCCAATGATCTAGGAGAAGAAGAGGCAGGTATCTGTGTCTCTGTCTGGAGGAAGAGCAAGCCACCCAGAAACCAAGCAATAAGATCAGGCATTCCTTGGGGGTGGCAAAGCCCTCCACAGATGACCTTTTTCATTTTTCTGCTTCTAATCAAATCATGCCCCAAAGTGATTTATAGTTTCTCAAGTGTGTTCAGGGAAAGAGACTTTTGCTATAAAGTTATTTAAACCTAAACTGGCAGAATAAATGTTGAATGGATTGATTATGTGCTTCAATTATGAGTTTTATCTTCTCTGCTTGTTGGAGAACTATTCACCATTGTCCTAATTAATTAATAAATAGCTTAAACTGCATGTATCTCTTGCCTTCTGATCATCAGACTGAGTAATCTGAATTCAATAGGTCTTATTTTCATTTCCTTTGAATATTCCTAATCCACATCCCAGGTTTACCATAGATGCCTTGACTTCTTTCAGGAATAATGCAAGGATGAAAATAATGGCTCTTGATTCTAAGTGGTAGAGATGACTGTATTGTAACCTAGAGGGAGGGGGGCAGATGGCACCTATCTCTCCCAGTGCCAGGACCTCCTCTCTGAGGACCTACTCACCATGCTCCCTCCAACTGAGGCCAGCACTTCAGACTGGTTGAGGGGGAAGCCAGTGCCACAGAGCTGCAGGGAGAAGAGGTTGGGGACGTGGGTTTGCTTCACCAAGGAGTCAAAGAAGGGCTCCAGGGAGTCATCGGGCTGTGGCAGAAAGAGACAAGGAGTGAATCCTCACATTCAAGACCCTAGTGAACCGAGGCCAGTTTTTGCCTATGCTGGAAGGCAAGAGCAAAAACTTGGGGATGTTCCTTGGGAAAGACAATGTTGAGGCACTGAGATTTGCCAGAGAGAGGGTAGCAAGAGACACTGGCAATGCAAACAGGAAATCATGGCCCACAGCCAGAGACTCTTTCATCCTTGTATGCCTGATCTACTTCAGATTTATGGGGGCCTCTCATTTTTAATGATCCTAGAGTTCACAGAAACCACAACCTATTCCTGTACCTATAAGAGCTGCTCTCACTATAGTTCTGCCCTCTGTATGGCTGAAATTAAGACTGCCACCCTACCCCTGCTCGGTAACACTTCACACTGACATGTATCTATCTTTGGGTCTATTCTTCTCCCTTCTTTCTCCTAATTCCTTTCCCACATGGCAGGTAGCATGCAACATGCAGACTCAGCGTGTAAGGTCAGGCCTTGTCCCTCTCACCCTGGCGATCTCCGCATAGGCCAGCCCCAGGATGCCCTCCCAGTTGGAGCCATTGATGAAGAACTTGTCTGATTCAGTGATGGCAGCAATGTTGGCACGGACAGTGACGTTGGGGCCGTGAGGGATGCTCACCAGGTCGGTACCCAGCTCTCCCTCCCACTTGCCCTGGGTGTAGGGCACATAAACGCCCTTCCGGAGGTCCCGGTATGTGCTGGACCTGTGGAAAGGAGGCAGAAATCTGTAGATGCAGAACCACAACAACTGGTATAGAGATCCACCATCAAACCTACTGCCAATGCCATCTTATCTCAGGGACATTCTAGAATCTGCTTTCAGGCTACTCTGTAGAATATCCCTAGACTCCTCACCTAGAAAAAAAAAAATTATAAAGTGATCTTATAAAAAGATGAGGGGAGCTATTGCCAGGGTGTGCTGTCCTGTCTCCATAGTGCATATTCCTGGATCTGGAGCTCAAGCCTGTGAAGAACAAGCTGGGCTTTGTGAATTGTGTCTGCTGTTGTGCTGCTGCTGCAGGGACAGTTAGCAGCATCTCTTTCTCCCCCTGATTCCAGCAGGCTCCCACAGAAAAGGAGCCATTGACTCACTTTCTGCCTTGGGACCCAGTGGTACCATCTATATGATGGAGAAAATGCTAGGCAGGGTGAGTGTGGAAGCTTGTAGCAAGTTCTTTTAGAGAAAGGATTTGCACAAGCCTCTCAGCAGAGCTGCTAGGCATTGCACACCACCTGGTGAAGCATTCTCATCAACAAGCATGCCACTAGCCAGGGCTTGAGTGGGAGCAGTGATTGATTGGGATGAAGACCTGAATGCCCTTTCATTGCTCCTACCCCTGTCCCTCCCCAACTGTTTGTTTAGGTAGGGATGTTAAAAGGGAAGGGGGCCAAAGAAGGCAGGAACTGGCACCTGCCTGGAAGTCTAAGGTTAGGATGCAAGCTTCTACTTTCATCCTCACACAAGTGACTCAGATATTAGATGCCTTCTTGCCATTTCCTCATAATGCCTTATGTATGTATGTATGTATTTGTGGTGCTGGGAATCGAATCCAGGGTCTCATGCTTTGGAAAGCATGCTTGGAGGCTAGCACTCTACCACTAAGCCACATCCCTAGCCCATAATGCCTAAAGGGGGCCTCCAGATCTTTCTCCACTGCCTCTCTGACCTAAAAACTCACTCCAACCTCCCTTTGACCAGTGAGCTGGACCCAGCTGGTGGCACTCTGGGTGGTCCATGGAAAAGACATTGTAGCTTTCAGTTCCTGATATGGGTCCAGGCAGTGGGGGTTATGGAAAATTCTTTCTTTCACGTCCCTGAACCATGCAAAGCCACCTGCAGTGGTCCCTGGGTGAGAACACAGCAAAGGGAGCTAACCACTGCAGACTTTCAGCCTAGCTTTAGCTGCTATTGTCAGAAAACTGTGAGCCACTGACAGCACTGGGTGAAGCCTCCCTCGCCTCCCTGCTGAGATGGCTTGGGGAGCCATGGAGCGTTCTGCCTCCTTCTCCTATAGGTGGCTGGCCTTCATATCACACTTTCCCTCAGTATGCCTCTTTAAACTTCCTCTTCACCCTTCTCCCCTAGCCACTGTTGCCTTCTTTTCCCTTCCCCTTCCCTGGCAGGAAGAAAGGATCTGAGGTCTGGTTTTTCTCTCTGCACCCCTCCCAACTCTCCTTGGGGAAGGTTCCTCCCCTGGGCTCTCCCCAGGACTCACAGCTGCCTTTGGTAGTATCGATGCAGGAAAGGGTGGGGGGCAGCCCCCACAGCAAAGTTGCTGCTGCCTGTGTCCACCAGGATGTTGAGCTGTCAGAGAAAGGGAAGAGAAATTCATTGTGGACAGATGGCTCTGGACTCAGCAGCCTTACGGCCCCTCACCCCACAGCCACATTTTCCTTTTGGGATGTCCAGGCTGAAGCATCCATGATGCAGGACCAGCCAGGCTGGCACCCACTGGTACCACAACCATAGACAGAACCTGGGGTCCATGGAACCTTCAATTTGGCTTCAGAAATGTTGTGTCTGCTTCTGTTTATAGAATTGACATTTTCAATGTCATGAGAGCCACACTGGATGTGTGTCTTCACTGTTCCCATTTCTATCATCAGATGGCCTCTGCTCTCAGAAGCCTGTCCCTTTCCTCCTTTTCTGATTCTCCCAGGAAGAAGCCTTGTGTACCCCACCCCCACCCCAGCTCTTAGAAAAGCTGTTCTAGGAGCTGGCACAGGTAAGGGTACTAGGAGGACACATTATTGCCTGTGTTTTTGTGACCCTGCCCTCCAGAATGTGGCTCCCCTTCTATCTCAGAATTTCATAAGAGGCCTATATGTCCTATTGTCAGAAATAATGGAGAACCAGGAGCCACATATGATGTCTTGGTGAAAACCTATCTTGTGCGGGCCCTGGTTTGGGCTGCATGGACACAGACAGCAGTCTTCTTGGTGCTCCTTGCTGTGCAGTTCCTAGCATTTCTTTTACCTTGTTTTTTCCTCCTCCTCTTAAAACTGACTCCTCATAATTTTTTTTTTAACCAGAGATTAACTCAGGGGCACTCGACCATTAAGCCACAACCCCAGCCCTATTTTGTATTTTATTTAGGGACAGGATTTCACTGAGTGGCTTAACATCTCACTTTTGCTGAGGCTGGCTTTGAACTCTTGATCCTCCTGAATGGCTGGGATTATAGGCATGTGCCACCGCAACGGCTCTCATAATTTTTTTTTTTTCTGTTCTAAGAGGCTTGAGCCATTTTCTGTCCCTAGTGAAAGTTTAAAAACCAAAGAGCATGTTCTTTCTTTTGAAATCCAGAGAAAATCTGAACAAATCTTCTAGATTCATTCACTTATAGTTATTTTCATCACTGATTTTAGAAGTCACTTAACTAAACAATAAACTAATAGACCTCAGCTACCTTTACTATAGATAACACCTCATTCACCTTGTTAAGGATTAAATTGGTTTTATTTAGCCTTGTGTATCAAACTGATTGAAACCACCAGTCCCTTTATTTGAGCCTGCACAGGTGTCTACTGTGTGATCTTTTGACATCAGAGGACCAAAACTCCACTCTCAGATATGCTAATATCACTGTTTTCCATGCAGTCTTCAAGTTTGCACAGACCACCTATTCCTTCACTTTACTTACCTCCACACCTTTCCTGAACCTCAGACCACCCTTGTGTTAGTCAGCTTTCTGTTGCTATTACAAAATACCTGAGCAAATCAACTTAAAAGGTGGAAAGATTTATTTTGGCTCATGGTTTGAGAGATTTCAGTCCATGGTCACTTGGCCACCTTGCTTTGGGCCAGTGGCAGCATGATGTACGTGTTGGGAATGTTTGCAGAGGAGGTTGTTCATCTCACAGAGGACAGGAACCAAGACAGACAAGGAAGGGCCATGATCCAAATATCCCTTTCCAAGGCACATGCCCAGTGACCCAAGTTCCTTCTACTAATTAGGCCCCATCTCCTAAAGTTTCCACCATCTCCCAGAAACAACATGCTGAAGACCGAGATATTAACACATGGGCCTTTGTGGGAACATTCCAGATCCAAACTATAGCAACCCTGTTTCTTTATCCCACAAATATCCTTCAACTCTGTCACATTTCACTGCCTTGTGAATAAATTCTTGGTTGTTTTGTTTTTTGGTATTGGGATTGAACCCAGGGACACTTAACCACTGAGCCACATTCCCAGCCCTTTTTTTGTATTTTATTTAGAGACAGGGTCTTGCTGAGTTGCTTAGGGCCTCACTAAATTGCTGAGGCTGGCTTTGAACTTGCAATCCTCCTGCCTTAGCCTCTTGAGCTGCTGGGATTATAAGTGGGCACCACCACACCCAGTGTTAGCTCTTTTTATCTTTGATTTTGAGACAGGGTCTAACTAAATTGCTTAGGGCCTTGCTAAATTGCTAAGGCTGGCCTTGAACTTGGAATCCTCTTGTCTTAGCCTCCTGAGCTGCTGGGATTACAAGTGTGAATATACTCTTTCTCTTTGGCAAAATTCATCACTTCAGTGATTGACACACTGCATGAACGGCACAACGTCCCGGCTCAGTAACACTCTGATGGTCTGACCCCTCCTCAGTCAGACCAGAGCCATTTTTTGTGAGTATCTACTGTATTCTCATGAGGCTCCTGTCCTCCAAAAATGGTAATATGTAAATTGAATCCCATTCTTGCCTACTTTTCACGTTCAGCACCTCAGCTCCCCCCCCCACCGGCCCCCCCTTCCACCTTGGGGCCTTTATTTCTGTACCCTCTATCAATGCAGTGAAATCAGCTGAGTTCCGGTTTGGTGCAGGCTCTGACCTTGTCACCTTGAGCAGGTCACTTCTTCTCCAGCTTCAGTTTTGTCCTCTGCCAGATCCTCTCCTGGCTCCTCCCTGCTCTCTGTGGTGCCTCTGTGGCTGTGCTGACTGTACCCACCCCCAGTGCCTGCTTTGACTTCCTGGCCTCCAGCCTGTCCCCAAAGCCTGCTTCTCAGCCCTGTGCCCCTGCCTCCTTCCCAGCTCCACACCCCTGGCTGGTTTCCCATTTCCCTCCCTGCCTCCCCTCGGCTGCCTCTCCCCGTCCCTCTCTCTGGTCTCTGGGCAGCCACCAGCTCCAGCTGCTGTGCTTTCAGAGAAAATCAATAGAACTGGGAGGCTCAGCAGTTCAGATTTCAATCATCCAGGTTAATGATTTAAAAAAAGGCTTCTTCACCCCGCCTCCCCAGGACCTCCTTCAACTCTCAGCACCCGGGGTGGGCCTCATATCACAAGGCTCTCTGCTATTACTGGATCCCAAAGAGAAAGGGGTCTCTTTCCTACACAGTCCCTATAGTAGCCTCTGCAAGGTGGTGGCAAGGGGGGATTACCTGGAATGTGTGTGCCTGGCCTGCTCTAGCAAACATGGCTATTTCTTTACAGTGGAATGAAGGTTTTTTTTTTGTTGTTGTTGTTGTTTTGTTTGTTTTTGAACCTGGGGATTGAACCTGAGGATGCTTTACCACTGAGCTACATCCCCAGCCCTTTTTATCTTTTATTTTGAGAGGTCTTGCTAAGTTGCTGAGGCTGGCCTCAAACTTGGGAACCTCCTGCCTCAGTAACCAGAATCTGTAGGATTACAGGCATGCGCCACCACTCCCAGCTGGAATGGAATTTTAGTGTGTGTGGTGGGGTGTGCTCCTTGTCTCCCTACTCCCCTCCTCTCCTCTCTCTGCAGATTACTGTGTTCCCCATCTTGAGGGTATCCTGATCCCCTTCCAGTCTCAGTCTTTCTATTCCTTCTAAGGAAATTCTTCCTCTTCTACCTCAAAGGGGGCCAAGCCCAGGAAGGAACACCTGCCACTCCTGTCCCCCTCACTCACCCCCATGCCAGGATTCCAGGCCCCCCACTGTTCGTTCTCTCTCTCTCTCTCTCTCTCTCCCCCCTCCTCACCCAAACTCTAAAAAAAAAAAAAAAAAAAAAGGGAAACCAAAATAAACAGTAGAGATTCCCTCTGGAGCAAATGTCTGACTCTTTGCCCTTTGCATGTGGTCCTGCTTCTGAGAGAAGTCATTTCTGGTCCTGTCATTCAATGTGTCTAGCTGAGCCCTCTGGGCTCTCCCTGGAGACCTCTCTCCCTTCCCACTCCAGTGGAGGCCTTTTTCAGGGCAGGGATGTGGAGGTAAAGGAGCTGAGCCACCACACTCATGGACAGGGCCTCAGGGGCAGCCCAAGAGGGAAGTAAGTAGTGGAAGTTTTACCTTGTTATTCACAGGAGGGGGTTGTTAGATGGGACCATCCTCATCTCCACAGCCAGTCATACCAGCCTGCCTGCAGCTGCCCCAGCCCATCCTTCCCCTCAGCTGTCCCTCCTGGCTCAGCCTCACCTTAGCTCTGGAGCCAATTCCCTCCTCCTTTCTCAGGCACCTACCCTATTAATGATGTCTCTTCCCTCAGGTAGATTCAGCCATCATGTCACCCAACACCATCAATTCTGGATTCTTCTACTGGCCTTTACAAATGCTTGAGTCTCTTCATTAAAAAATAACAAAAAACTTCCTTAATCTCACACCCGCCTCCAGCTACCTTCTTTCTCCTCTCCTTTCATAAGCCAAGCTGTCTTCATTTCTTCACCTCCTACTCATTTCTCAACCCATTCTAAAACTGGGTCTGCCTCCAGCCTTCCACTACCAAACAGCCCTTACTACAATTACCAGTGATTTCATGTCACCAACACAAGAGAGTTTTCTCAAGTCAGTCCTCGTCTTACTCCTCAGGTCCTCTCTTCTCTCTCCTTCTCAGGCTCACATCCCAAGCTTGGGCTTCTTCCTCTCACACCATCCTCTCCCCGCTAAGCATCTTGCCTGGAACTCCAGGACCCCTAAGCTGCTCCTACTTCTGCTGCTGCTGCTGCTGCTGCTGCTGCTTCTTCTTCTTCTTTTTTTTTTTTTTTTGGTACCAGAGATTGAACCCAGGGGTGCTTAACCATTAATTCACATCCCTAACCCTTTTAAAATATTTTATTTAGACACAGGGTCTTACTGAGTTGCTTAGGACCTCGCTAAGACTGGCTTTGAACTCTCCATCCTCCTGCCTCAGCCTCCTGACCCCCTAAGCTTCTAATGCTTACTCTTTCCTCCCTATTGAGTTCTGAATGCTCATACTGAAGTGTCTTAAGACACGTCAAAACCAGGATGTCCAGAGCTGACTTTACACAGTCCTTCCCATCTGGTCATCTTCCAGTGTTCCTGTATCAGTGAACGGCATTACCATCCATCTATTCTTTAAGGCAGTAACTCCAGAGACAACCTAATACCTCTTCTTCTTCACCTCTCT